TTTGCCAGGTTCCTCTCCTTCCTCTTTGTCTGGCTTTCAAACCGCAGAGGGTTAGAGCTGGATGGGATCGTCACCACCATTTCTTTGTAGAGATGAGAAGAGGAAGCCCGGAGAGCCAAAGGAGCGTGCACTTGCACGCTGGTTCGAAACTCAGCTTCCAAGCTGCTCAGTCCTGTTAGAGTCCTTCCACGGGTTTCAGCCCGTTTCAGGCTGGTGATGTGGCAGTCAGCTTTGCATCCCTGCCAGCCATTCCTTGTATCGAAGGCCTGTGATAAATGCTCAGCAGAGAGGGGTGCACTCAGGAACATGATGGTGTGTGCTTTGGAAATAAGGCTTAAGCTGCATGAATAGCAAAGGACTGTTCTTAAGCCTACAGCATGCTGGCCCTGAGAAGACTGAGCCATTTTAAGCCTGGTCTAGGGAAACAGTGCCTCTAAGCAAGGTTTCCTTTCCTCCAAGGTGAAGCACACAGGAGTCACATGAGGGCCGCAGGAAGGGTTCTGCAGACCCAGTCATGTGTCGGTATCTCCAAGACACAAGACCAAAGATGGATTGGCCAAGACACCGTGTTTGACTGGATTGGTAGTCGATCCTTCATTAAATGAAGGGGCTCTGCTTTTAAAACGCCATTTGGGCAAGTGGTACCCAGTCACTGGGAATTCAGAGGAGGTTGTCCAAGATCCCCCTTCCTTCTCAAGTCTGAGTGTCAAGTGCTGTGATTTTACTTTACAGAGATCTGTCACACACATTTCCAAAGTTTTCTTGTGAGCAGTGTCTGTTTTTTAAAATTCTCCCCCAAACATGGTCTTAGTGTGTTAACAGATTGCCAACCCCCTGCCCGTCTTCACTCTGCTCTCTGCAGGACCTGAGGAAGGCCTTTTTGAAACACAAGCATGATGGAATCCTGCATACAGCTCAGGTCTGGGAGTCTGCAGGCCTGGGCCCAGCTCCCTGGCCTGTCCCCTAGGCTGCACACTGTGTGCCTGCTAGGGCCCTGTCCCCATCCTGCCTTTGTGTCTGCTCAGAACGTGGCTTCTCCCCATCCACTGCACAGACCCCTATTGGGAGACTCAGACCAAATATGTTCTCCTCTGTCTAGTCTCCCTCAGCCTGCCCCCAAATCCATCTGGCAGAGTATACTGAGTGTGCTGTTCTCTGCCTGTCCCCTGTGGCCTGCACTATGATCCCTGGGAAATGGGGATCAGGTATTGTTCACCCATGTAGAACCAGCTCGCAGAAGCACAGGGTAGGAGCTCATTTAGTATGTATTGATGGCTGATTATAGGAGACAGGAAAGGGAGGTGAAGGCTTAGTTCCACTGAACCCAAGTGCAGGAAGAGTGGCATAGCCGTGTTTCCTGTACATGAAGCATGCAGTACCTGCCGGCTGCAGTCTTGACGTAGGACATGGTCTTAGCATGGCTTGGCATCACTGCCTCCTCTCATTCGCTGTGTCCTACACATTGATCTGACCTGTCAGAGAAATATGATTTGTTGGGAACCAAACACAACCTTCTGTGTACACTGCCCCCGCCCTGCCCCCCCTCCTCCCCCAGTCACCTGATGCTCAAACCACTTATTTCTTTACAGTTGCAATAAATGTAGGCACAGATACCTTCAAAAGTCCCACCCCCAACTGTCTGGGCTGACTCTGAGTCACCAGGATCTTCTTTCTCTCACTAATTAGGTCATCCAACACAGACCCAAACTTCCTCCAAATGCTGTATCCTCCAAATGCTGTATCCTCCTGACACACCACCTGTAACTCTTGCAAGCTGCATACTTCCTGCGTCATACTACTCACATTTGCACAAAGGAGCACGAGTTCTAGTCAGTTGCTTTTTGAATTCATTGATTCGTTCTTTCATCAATCTGCTTCACGGTGGACTACATAATTTTACTAGGAGGGACCTCAGTCTAGTGACAGAAACATACGTATAATGGAGTGAGTATAATGGAGTGATTATTAGATAGAGATAAAGTGTGGTGAAGAACAAAGGGATATTCGATGAAAAAGGAATCCCAGAAGTCTTCCAGGAGGAGGTGACATTTGCCAGAGACTGTCCTCAAAGCAGAAAAGAGCACTCAAGACAGAGAGATGGCAGAGGTAAAGGACTTCAGTGTGAAAAGGTATGAGAGGGCTGAGAAACTGAGGATGGATGAGACACAAACCAAACCACTGGGTGCTTAAGGAACACTGGGTGCTTAAGGAACACTGGGTGCTTAAGGACATGGGGAAGGCCACCCGCTCCCCAGAGGGTTTTTCTTCTGAGATGTGACGTGGTGGGAAGTGCAAGTGATCCCTACAGCTTCTGCCAAGGTCTGCTCTGTCCCGCAGGTGCTTCCACGACTGAGCGAGGTTCCCAGGGCTATTGCCACTCCCACCCACTCCCACCTGCCTAGGCGGGTGGCATCCCAGAAGGAAAGAGGCAGGGGAGGAAGCAGATAAGAAAGACAGCTTCTGTTTAGACACAAATATCTTGGTAATCAGCACAGATGGGATGAGAAATACCAAAAAAGTACATGACAGTTTAGAGAGAATTTGGCGAAATGTTACATATTTTTAACCTACCTGTGTAGAGTTTTGGAACAAGCACCTGAGTCCTTCAGAACCTGAGTGGCCTGGGGGTTACACCTCAGCCAAGGGGTGTTTTTATTTCAGAACTGTTCCACCTCCCGGTCCACAAAAGCAGCCTCGTGGTTCTTTTTTTCTCCACCAAAATAAGGCGCAGGGTCTGTCTCTGACGCTGTGTCTCCCTATTTGGACGACAAGCTGTGTAACATATTTCTACCCAGCGGGAAGCTTCTTGGCAGACTCTTGAGGCCACGTTTTGGTGGCTTCAGAGTTATCTTTGGATCTGTCAAAAGTGCTAATGGGCTTTCTGGCCTTCTTTAAGCTCCTCATTTTCTATTTTCTTTTTACTTCCATCCTCTCCTTAAAAGAAAAATTCATGGAATTCATCAGCAGTTAAGCATTTCACTGCAGTGCTCAGCTGAGGGCCTTGTGTTTCTGTTCGCGAGAATAGCTCTGCCATGTCACTGCCTTCGAACAGACCCCGCCCTGACATCATTAGCTCAGCTCTCCTCAGTCCACTAGGCCGCCATGCACTTGTTGATGGATTCCAGTGGCCTTTCTTGTTTGTTTTGTTTTGTTTGTCCAAGTCCCAGAGGCATGTGGGTATAGTGGTGAGAGCAAGAGTTTTGAATTCGGGGAAGCTGGGTTTGAATGTTGACCTTGCTTAACCCTCCTGAACCTCCGTTTTCCCATCTGTCAGATGGAGATAATATTGCCTTTCTCAGAGCTGTTGGACAGCAGACAAAGCACAGGCCCTTTCTCTGCTGTCCAACACACAAGCCTCCAAAATGGGGTACCAGTGATTTTTAACAGAATCTTTGTTTCTCTTTCTTTTGGAGCTATGGTCCTGCTTGGAGCCTATGTCATGCTTTCTTTTTCCAAATACAACTTTTGCCTGCTGTTATTTGTGGTATATGATTTAAAAAGCACAGATTTAAAGACAGACTGACCCCAGGCCAAATATTTAATTGCACAATGCTGGTACATGACTTCTTTTTCTCTGTGCTCTTATCTGTAAGTAGGGATAACAACACCTACTTGTTCAAGGAGTGGTTTCAAGGTCAAGTGAAATAATATAGATAAGGCCTTCTTTATGTGTCAAGATGTTTCAAAGTCTTTAAGAGGGACTTGGAACCTAGTCCAAAATATGACCCCACCAGCTACAGATTTCTCTGAGGTGCAGTTTATATACTGGGAAGAGTGCTACCTCCTCAGAGCTTTGTGAAGATTGCTTGGGCTTACACAGACAAAAGTACCTGGTCACAGTGCCTGGCGCTGGGTAGTTACCCTGCATATGGAGCTATTAATTCACTCACTCTTGTTGATAAATACCGATGGTTAACCTGGTGCTCTGATCAAACGATATTAAATCATAAAATAAATACACATTCTTATTCCCAACCCATAATATTGTTGTAAAGCACTTTAAGCTCTTTTGCATGTACATTCCACCTGCTTTCCCTGGATTTGGGGGTTATAGGTCTTTAATCACTGTAAAAAGCACCCTCTGGCAGTAGTGTTGCTTCCTGCCCCAACCCTCTTGGTTTTTGAGTATTAGATTGTATACCATTGAAAACCTGCAACACTGAAGAAATTAGCATATTCATGTGTATTATTAAAGTCAGGTGGGTGTAGAGAGGGTTGCAAAAATGAACATGTTACACTTTCCTGAAATCCAAGGGGGTACCAATTCATGGTACTAATTAAGAGAACAAGGTCCGGACTCCAGACAAAAACCAGTTAAGACACTGCTTTTTCACAACTTGCTGCTACTTGTCTTTGGTTTTTTTCCCCCTTTGAGTGAAATACCTGGAAATTATAAATCATCCAGATTGTTTTAGTCCCAGCTGCACTGTTGTAGAGAACGTGAAGGAGAGGGTGCCAGCAGCGATGACAGGCGAGGAGCCCTGACTGCGCAGGGGCAGCCACTGGGCAGATGGAGGCCGTGTACCCGCAGCATTTTGTTCTGCGGACACGTTCTCTGCTTATTGGTGTAGCACAGGGCCTTGGGGAAGTTCTGAGATCTGGAGTCCTAGGATCTGAGAGGCAGTCCCATTTTCATCGCTTATTAGACTTTTTGATCGCAACATGTTTCTCTGGTCTCAGTGTCCTCACGTGTAAGGCTGTAGACTTCCTGCCCTGCTCATCTCTGGAACTGACATGAAGAGCAATGAAGTCCTAGGTCGGCTTTTGTCATAAACCATAGCACCACACAGAGGTGTCCTGCCTTGTTCAGTTCTCAGGTCTCTGCATCTCCTGACTTTATGCACCAGTGGAGTTTGGTCTGTCAGGTAGGAAGAGTAGGACAGGAAAGATGAGCATATACCTTCTGATTATTTTGTTTATCATGCTTTGATTAGATATTGCTTGTAATGAGAACAAACAAAATTTGCCACTAACCAATCTCCTCCTCTTCTTCCTCCTAGAGAAATTTGACAGAGTATTTCGTGGCTGTGGACGTAAACAACATGCTACATCTGTATGCCAGTATGCTCTACGAACGCAGGATCCTCATCATTTGCAGTAAACTCAGCACTGTGAGTAGACTGTCTCAAGATGGGCTTGTTTGTCATTTCAATTGAAATGCGTATGGGAAAGATTCAAGAAAATTTTAGGAAAAGAGACTGCCACAGACCCCTCAAGTGGTAACAAGTTATCATGAGTTATTCACATTCCTTTTCAGTGCCTGCATACTTTTCATTTACTCTTCCAACTTCACGGTCAGGCACAGTTTTCTGTTTGATGATGCGTTGTGAACGCTGCCCATTTCCGCATGAGCTTCCACCCTTGTTTTGCAAATGTCTGTCCTGTACTCCATGATACTGCTGTGCCTATATGTCCAGTATTTCTTCCCTCGATAGCCACTTAGGGGGTCACAGATAACACTGCAGTGAACATCTTGCTGTCCTTGACTGGTACAGTCCAAATTCTAAGGAGTGGGCGCCCAGGCCCCAGGCCGGACAGGTGCTGCGGCTGTCTCCCGCACATCGCTGCTGCGCGGCTGCGGCTGCGGCTGCCGCTGCCGCTGGGCCCGCCGGAATTGTGTGTGTTCATGCACACGTGTTTTCATTTTGCCAATAAAGTAGGTGTGAATGGGCTTACAGATTTTCTCTAATTTTTCATTTTTTATTAGAGTTAACCAAATATTTTTCTGTTGGTATTTTGCTAAAGTCTTTTTTCCACTTCAAAGATCTTTTTTTCTTTTTAATCAGAATGAACTTATATATCATAGTGACTTTTTGCTATATATATAATACAAATATTTTTCGTATCCATTATTTTAATTTTTTAACTTGCTGAGTATAAGGGCTTACATTTTTTTCCTTATTCTGTTTTGAAAACTCTCAAAGATAGAAAGTTGAACTAATTGTACAGTTAATTACCCATATAGTTCCACATGGCTTTTGCCATTAATACTTTATTCTGCCTGCTATGGTGCACCTTTATCCATCTATTCATGGCTCATACCACCCTTCAATCTAGATTTTTTTTGATGCATTTCAAACTAAGTCACAGACTTTCCCCTAAAAAGAGTGTGTGTGTGTGTTATTAACTAACATTGAATATCTGTTTACAGAACTTTTTTCTTTTGAGATAAAACTAATGATCACTTCTCAGCCTTTTGGCTAGGATCAAGTATGGAGATAAAACTTACATACAGGAATTGACAGGGAGTAGATACCTAATAGATGCATCTCTTTAGAGGTGAAAAGACCTTCTCATAGGGGGGATTTTCTTTCTTTCTTTCTTTCTTTTTTAATAATATAATAGTTTATTTTTACATCATTTTTTCATCTTAATTGTAATCCATTCATAGTGGGGATTTTCTTAGGGAAAGGCGTCTGGGTAAAATCAGGTGTGTGTTTTACCTATGAAGACAAGGAAAACTTTGTGAGACTACTAGAGTTAGTGCTGTGATTGTCATCATAGCTGTATTATTATTTCTTTGATGTTGTTTGCTTGTCACAAACTCATCAGTTTTCTGATTTCAGATTTAGTCTTCTGTGTGCTAGACTCAGCACATAGTAGGAAACAAAGCATACCCTCGCCCTCCAGGGAGAAAACTAGCCTGCAATCCACCTCTTGCATTTTATTTTTAAACTCTAAGTGTACTTCATAATCTTGAGGCTGAACCCCTGGACTGAGTTTCAGAAAGAGAGATTGCCAACCAGGGTTATTGTTGTGGCTTAAGTCGAATAGAAAAAGTGCATTGGAGAAAGTCTAGTCCTAAGCCAGTTACTGCTGCTTTGGAGTATTAAACCTCAGTAAAACAAAACAGGACATAATTGAATTCCCTATAATGTCATTATGATATTTGTCAGACTGGACACTGAGCTATATGTTTTGCATCTATTAATGCATTGAATCCTTACTACAACAGTTTGTAATGGGCTTATTATTATCCCAAGTCATAAATAAAGATGTAACTTATTTGTAAACTCTCTGTAATTGTTTAGATAAATGCAGTGTGTTAAACACACGGTTATTTCTGGTCCTTTCTGAAATTAAAGTGAAATAAAGGGATAAATCAACATGCACAAAGAGCAATGTCATAGAGATTTTAAAAATCATAGTAAGCCTCATCAGTATTAAGCTACCTTAGTTAAAAAACAGGTAAAGTAATAGAAAGCTAAAATTTAGCAAAATTAAATCAATAAGAAATAGAAAGATTGTGTAGGTCACTTAATTTATAGAAATTGGATCAATGTATATTTTTTTTTACCAAAATGACTAAGCTTAGGCTTTTTTATAGGTAGGTTTTATCAAACATTTCAAGAATGTAATAGTTTCAATATTAGACAAACTCCTTAAGTATCTAGGAAAAAAAAAGAGATAATATGCCCAGCTTTTCTGGCAATACTTTTATAAACTTTGACATTCACTGCATAAGGAGATACTGCAAGAAAGTTTATCAGCCAATTTAACTGATAAACATAGCCATAAAAGTTTAAAATGGTAGTGAATGTACAAAAACCATAATTCATAATTATTATGTTATTCCAGAAAAATAATGCTTATACTAGAAAATCTATTAATATCATTTACCACATTAATGCATTGAAAGGACATTCATATTGTCACCAGTAGTTGCAGAAAAAAAAATGACCATATTCATGAACAGAAAGACTTGATATATTGAAGATTTCATTTCATGCAAGAGTGATCTCTGGAGTGAATGTGTCTCCAATTCAAAATCCCAGTAGTATCTCCCGTAATATTGATTCCATGGTATTGATACAGAAAAGCCAAAGGAATGGTCAAGACACTCTAGAGGGAAAAGAATGGATCATGGAAACCTGTTTAACCAAATAGCAAGACCTTTCATAGGGCAAGACTAAGCAGCTTAGTAATGGCACAGAGCTGCGCAGGTAGACTGATGGAGCAGAGTGGGGATTGCAGGGAAGCCCACACGTGCTTGGCACCCCAGGGGTAGCAGAGATGGCTTTGTAAAATCTGAGGCAAGTGATGGGCTTTTGATTCATTAGTTATCCATTGGCAATAAAAAAGGAAGATAATTTCTATCTCACACCACATGTAAAAGTGAATTCCAAACAGATCAAGGACTGAAACGTGAAAAGAAAATTTTAAAACCTGTAAAAGACAAAATAGAATAAAGCTCTATGATCTTGGAGTAGAGAAGAATTTCTTTTCTTTTTTTTTTTTAAAGATTTATTTATTCATACAGAACTGGGGTACAGGCCAGAGATGCGGAGGGTGAGGGGGTTCAACAGAGACAGAGCAGGGAGCAGAACAAGCAGATCGACGAAGTACACTGCTGAAGGGAGCAGGCAGGTCAGGAGAGGTCTGCCTCGCCATGTGGATCTCCTCCGGGGCAGGTGGGGAGCAAACTCATACAGAAGTGGCTTAAGCTTCTTAGTGCTGTGCTTTAACCTGCTGTGCCACCAGGGAGGGCCGAGAAGGATTTCTTTCTTTCTCTCTTCT